GAACCTAACCCTTACCTTAACTTAAATCGCGCTTCTGTCGGCGCATTGTTGTCGGCGCATTGATGACGTCGCGGTTTTCTCACCGCGGTTTCGTTGGCGCGCTTTTGTCGTGCACGCATTTGTCGGGTCACGGATACTACCCATAGAAACAAAATAATAGTGTTTATTTTCTCAGGTTATCATATATACTATTTGGTTTCTCACTTTGTCATTAATCAGATAGGAATCCCAGATAAATCTCACTTTCACACATGAACTAGTATTTTTATTATAGTTACTGACCAGAATTGCAAACAAAAATATAATAAAATAAAAATAAAAAAGATAAAATATTACAATTAGTGGATTTGTCCATGGATAATCAAAGTCTGCCTAACTTTACAGTATAAGGAGATGTAGCTATATTCAAGGAGACTCTATCATACTGCTCTGATAACAAGAACTACAGATAAGAAAGAATTTCCTGGGTAGTCAAGGCAAGTCCTTGTAGAGGGTACAATAGAGCTCGACATGAGCTGTAGTTTCAACAAGCCCTTGTCCACGGGGGCAGAATCTCAGTTTATAGAGGACTTTTTTGTCTCCAAAACACAGCCCTATTGTTGAACACTATGATAGATAGCCAAGAAATATACCACTGTGTGGGCCTGCAATCAAAGAGACTATAAGCAGTTTAAACTCCACTTAGCCAAATGTAGTTGATCAGCCATATAGAGTAGCTCTTCAGAGATTTTATAAATCTGGTTTAACTGCTTGCCTGCAGGTCATTCTATATTGCTAGTAAATTCCATATGAATTAAAGATTGCAGAAGTGCTTAATTACTCCCAACCCCCAAAAAGTCTAATGAAAGTTAACAACATGGTGTAGATTTATAAAAACCTGGCAGTGCAATTCTTTACATTTCTCCCTGGAAACAGTCCTTTATTTAAATGTGTCTTGTTCCATGTAAGCGGATGTAAGATTGCATTAAACTAACTGAACTTCAATTGAATTACTGTCAAGGAAAGTCTTAATTTACCCAGTTGGCTATTAGAACCTTCTGTGCAATGTAATCATTGACATAACTATATTATGTTAAGTATAAATAGTCTTCTCTTTAGAGAACATGGCATGTTCTTTAGGTTTAAAACATGATAATGTAATTACAGCATTAAGGTTATAAATTGTTTAGTAAAATTTGAACTTTGCTTTAAAAATTAAACCTGAAAAAAATGAACGTTAGATGGATATTCTACTAGACATTTCTCCCCATTGCAAAGAATTGAAAATTTCAATATCCTATAAGAAAAAAGGCAAAAAACTCCAAGGTAAGTTAATGCAAATAGGTACGGTAGCAGTGGTTAGAATTGAAATACATGTAACTTTTACAGTAACCACACTTAAAACCCTTTAATCTGTTACCATTTGTAATACAAAAATAGCTTCATAATAAGTATTGGAGTGGCTATCCATTGTAATATGCAAAAAGATAAACTAATTAATTTCCCAAATAGATAGTACAATGAAACACAATCCCCAAACAATTCTTATAGAACAGATAATTCTGTTCTTACTCTGAGGTCAGGGACTCAGCAGATAGGAGAAAAATCTACGCTTCGCACACTCTTCAGTGAGTAAGATCTCTTGGCTTGAACGTTCCATCCCAAGCAAGCCGATAACTTTCTTCAACATTGGAAAAGTTGTGATAATCACTGCATGGTGATTATGGCTGGTATGTTAACTGAAAAAAGGAGCATCTGGTTCTGCTTCATTGAATAGGGGTGTTAATGCCATAGTATCGAACTTCAAAAAAATCTATCCCACTAGAAATATTTTATTGGACTCTATTAAGGCCAGCATTTACAGCCCAACAGGGGAATGAAAGTATTTTACATATAGATAACTGTTCTGACCCCCTCCTCCGTCCAGTAACGACTGCCGAGACAAGCTTAACTGGAATGTACTTTAATAGCAAGAAACCAAACCCCCGGTGGC